AAAGAGACTGCACAGCCTGCAAAGTGTAAAATGTTTACTACCTGGCCCTTTATAGAAAAAGTTTGCTGACTCCTGTGCTGGAGAATTTCAGTTGTGATAAGTTCTTTTTCCTGCAGGATTTCCATAAAGGTGTTTGATGTCTTCCAGGTTGTACAACTATGAACCCTGCACTGAGCAAATCCAGCACGTGCCCTGTCCAGCTCTTGCCACACGGCCTGCCTCTCCCAGCACTGCCTGCCATGCCATGAGCACAGTGTGCTGCACACACGCCTATCACCTTGACCACGCACGATTACAAGAAACAAAGCACAGAGCTGCTCAAACAAAGCGGCTGTGCTTTCCAAATAAACAAACTGTCTTGGAATGTTCTACTGTGTACTTATTGAAAGCCAGGAAAATGGTATATAGCAAGGCAGCAGGAAAAGGAAAAAAACAAAAAAATACAAAGATCAGGTGACTCACGCTCTGATTTAATTGTATTAAGGAAAAAGTCAACATTGCAAATAAATACAGTAATTAAAGAGGAGAGCTACACTCCAGAGTCCGGGGCACTTACCAGAGCTGAGCTGCTATCACCGGGTTGCTTGCTTTGGAAGAAAAACAGAAAGTCATCACATCTTAGAGAGCTTTATAACTTTCACCATGCAATATCAGACAATGCCTAGGAGAGACTTCTGGGATCACAGAAGAGTTCCCATCCCCACCCGGACAGATATGCCTGGTGGCTACTTCTTTTTGAAGGGGGAGTAAACTGCCCTCTCACTAATTCACTCTGTGCCCCCACTCTAATTCACTCAGCAAGCTCTCCCTGAGCAGGTCCCAGGGCCAGGGGCACTGCAGTGCAGAGGCAGAGAGATACCGTCCCTGCTCTCAAGAAACTTGCAGTCTTGAGACAGAGAGAGAAGAGCATGTAAAACCAGAAATAGTGCAAGGTGATAAAAAGGAGGAAATACAAGCACGGTCCTGTACTGAGGGCACGCGGGACAGGTACCTCTGACTGGGGCAGGGGCGAGGGTCTGTGTGGATGGGGGTGGGGCAGTGTATTCATCTATGCTCCATTTAGTTTTAAAAAGGATATGGCAGGGGAAATCATGAAAAGCTTCAGAAAGAAGATGCTAGAACTCTGGCTGGGAAAAATGTCAGTAAAATAAAGGAGAAAAAGGAAGATGGAGACCAGGAAGGAAAGGAGGAGAATCACAGAGCCTGGAGTCTGGAAGAACTCTGAAGCTATCTGGCGGGGCTGGACCCTAGGAAGCCCACTCCCCTCTGCGACAGCCACACCGGGGGTCTTTCCCTTTGTGCCTGCACACACTTGTAAGGACTGGGAGCTCACTACTGTCTGGAGATAACTGTTCTTATCTTTGGAAAATTCTTCCTTACACCGGGCTGCTTCTGGGTAACTGTGACCTGGTGGA